CCACCTGTCCCCCTGTAGGTGTGTAGAGAAAGGTGGATGGCGGCCGGCTCAGGCCTCGAGGCAGCCCCAGATTTTGGCATCACGTGTTTGACACCTCATTGTGAGCCCCGAAAGTGCGATCCCGATCATTACTTCGGGTTTCTTGAGGAGGGTTTGTATGTACTGACTCTTGCTGCTGATATTGTATCTGCTAACACTGCCTCTTTGCCTGGCTTCATTTCACCAAAAGGCTGTCATTTAACCGGCATTGACTCTTCCCGACTGAAAAGGAGGAATATCGGCTCATTTGGAGCATCCCGTGGCATATTTGCTCTACTTTTCACTCATTCATTCATTTATAAATATTTGTTGCTCAACTTCCAGGTGCCAGGCACTTGAGAATTATATAGCACACTAAGTCCCTGACTGGATTACTGCCCTCACAGAAATCACAGTTTAGCTGAGAGACAAGAGAATGCTTACTTACCAAGACTTATTTACTGAAAAAAAATATCCGGCATCTCTCCCAACACCACGCTGGAGTGGGGAGGGGCAGCCTAAGTGACTGAGATTTAAGCCTCCTGTCAGGAGGGTGGAGAAGTGTGTGTAAAAGGGTGTCAAAAAAGCAGGGTGGGGATACGTTTTTGCCATGGGGTGTGGAGGGTTGTGGGTGAAAAGTGTTTTGGTAGAAAAAGCGTTAAAGGGGAAAAGGTTAAGGGTGGTGAGGGTAGAGACTGGGGGTGGATAATGGGGCAGGCTGTGTGGAGGGAACCTGAAAGAAAAGAGTCTTGGCTTTTGGGATTTCAGGGTCAGAGCAGTGGTGAGGACACTGGCAGACTGGGTGTGTGCAGTATGAGTGACTGGCACGTCCTTCTCTCTGCAGGAACGGAGTTTTGACTGTAAGATCTGTGGCAAGAGCTTCAAGAGGTCGTCCACCCTGTCCACACACCTGCTCATCCACTCAGACACCCGGCCCTACCCGTGTCAGTACTGTGGCAAGAGGTTCCACCAGAAGTCCGACATGAAGAAACACACCTTCATCCACACTGGTGAGCTTGTAGGAAACACTCTGGAGGGGAGGGGAAGGGTGGGTATTATTCTTTTGCCTGAGGCCAACATACCTCACTTTCTGTGTGATTCTGGCCCCAGTAAATGGGGGACGAGGCTTTCCAGATGGAGTTAAATTAATCACTGTTGTGTGTTAAAGAACAAACAAACAACAACAAAAAACAAAGCGGCAGATTCTTGTAGGTTCGTTTACAGACACGGTGCTTCCCAGTAGGGCCTTGATTTGGGGCTGTTGTGTCTGAAGAGCCACTCAGCAGGCCTGCTTGCAGGTTCTCTATCATTAGTTCAGCAGCTGCTCCAACTGCTGCCTGCTCTGGGTGAAATACGAAGCTTCAGGGTCCTCTCAGAGTGTTGCTCTAAATGTTTACTTAGAGATGGAGGGCTTTCTGTAGGGCTTCCACCCAGCCTGTTGCGGGATGGGCTCATGTGTGACTTCTCTGGCTGCATTTTAGGAGTCTGAGAGCTTATTCTGATTTAGCAGGGGAAATGGCAAATATTTATTACTAAGACTTCTGCTAAGCACTTTTAAAACACATTATCTCATTTTAGGTTCACAACAGCTCTGGGAGGTAGAGATTATTCCTTATCCCCATTTTAGAACTGAGGCAAGTCAGGCACAGGGGGGTTAAGTGAACTACCCAGGGTCACACAGCTAGCATGTGGCAGAGCCAGGGCTGAATTCATATCTGTCTGACTTCAAATGTGTATGCTCTTGACCACTGTTTAGCATATTCTCCTTCCATTGTCATGGGGGTTGGTAGCTGAAGAAAGCTTTTATTCACTGATTGCCCTTTTCCAAATATCAGCAAGTTCATGCCCTAACAATGATAAATCCTTACCTGTTATAATACTTTACAGAGTGTTTTCAAATTTAGCATTTCATTTGACCCTAACCGCACCCTAAAGTGGAAGGAAGTGGGGCAGTGGTGGTTCAGTGGTAGAATTCTTGTCTTCCATGAGGGAGACCCAGGTTTGATTCCCAGCCAGAGCTACCACCTATCATTGGAGGCTACCAGTTTGCTATGATACTGAACAGGTTTAAGCAGAGCTTCCAAACTAAGACAGACTAAGAAGAAAAGCCTGGTGATCAACTTCCAAAAATCAGCCAGTGAAAACCCTATGGATCACAACCATCTGATCCCTTTTGCATGGGGTCACCATGAGTCGGGGGAGACTCGCTAGCAGCTAATAGCAACATAGTGGGAGGAGCTGCTCTAACCACCCTGAATCTCAGAGAGATTGAATGATTAACCTAAGATCAGACTGAGGGTAAACTGTGGAGCCAAGGCTGGAATGCTCCAGTATTGAATCTTGGACTCTTTCCGTAACACTTCAATTGCGTGCAGGGGGTATTTTTTAATATCAGGAGCACTCTCTTTAATAGTTAACAAGGCATTTACACGAGACCCAGAATTTTTTACTATTTTATTGCAGAATACAAATACTGATTTAAAACAAATCCTAGTGTGTTCCAGACACCAACTATCGATGTTTATAAATATGCTTGGGCTGTGTAGATGATGCCCCATTGGAAAACCCAGAAAAATATCCTGCTCTAATCATGCCCTTTACCTGAAATTTCCATGTAATTCACTCCTTTTGAGTAAAGGTATTCAAGACGCTTATCAAAATGCAACTAGGATCTTAACGGCATGAAACATTAAGCCCTTATCAAACATTTACATTATAGCTAGAATTCGTTTCTCAGATTTGTTTGACCCTAAAGGGATAGGATCAGTTTTGATGAGTGACTCCTTATCAAGGAAATCTGAAGCATGGAGACAGAAATGGGTACAGCAAAAGGGAGAGAGGGCTCCTTAAAAACAAACTTCATCTGTTTTGTATTTTTTCTGAGGCTGAGCCCTGACTGCAGTGCCTTGCTGGGGCCATTTGGAAAATCATGTTTTTTACCCAAATGTTAAACAGTACACGAGTTAGGGGAAAAAAAAAAACTTTTGCATGTTCTGTCTGTTATTTACTAATCTGTGGTGAAGAGTTGCTATTGTATAGGGAATCCTGTGGTCAAGCTCTTAAAAAGAAAGTAAAATCAAGACAGAAAAGGATCAACTACCTTAAGAAATAGTTTGTGGCCCAAATATGGATTTTTTTAATGAAACTTTGGGAAATGTCCATGCTTCAGATACATTCAGTTGGCTTTCAAGAGGAAGAAGGAAGACAGACTCACTGGTCCATACAAACCAGCACGCACTTGGAAACTCAGATTTGAAAACTTCCTCTGAATTATAGAGAAGAGAGTCACACGGTTTGTAGGCTGAGTGCCCCTGCCCCCTTCATGATGAACATCTGCTGTGGGAGATCTCAGCTTCTAAAGGCTGAGGAGTCCTCCCAGGGTGGATTCAGCTGTGAGTCTGAGGAGGGCACGTGGCATTTGTCCTGTTTCCGTTTAGCAGGAAACGGTTTGAGGCCTTTGGTTGGGAACCCCCACTCAGAAAGGCTCCCTTTCACCTGCTGCCCCCATGGCTTCCCAGGGCTCCCGTTGCAGACCGGGAGTCGGTTCATGCTGTAACACGTCACCCTCCAAGTCGCTTGAAGGCCTCAGGCTGTGGTGCAGCCAGCTGCTGCCAAGAGCATGTGGGTCACCGTGGGTCCCCTCTAGCTTTAACATAGACTCACACTTCCTCCCCTCCCCCTTCTATCCCCGCAGGTGAGAAGCCCCACAAGTGCCAGGTGTGTGGTAAGGCATTCAGCCAGAGCTCCAACCTCATCACCCACAGCCGCAAGCACACGGGCTTCAAGCCCTTCGGCTGCGACCTGTGTGGGAGGGGCTTCCAGAGGAAGGTGGATCTCCGGCGGCACCGGGAGACGCAGCATGGGCTCAAGTGAGCACCCTGGCTGGCGACAAGCAGCAGTCACACAACACTACAGAGGGCAGCCTCCCCCTTGCTACTGCCCCTTCTGACTTCTCAGGCCCCCCAGTCCAATCTGCAGATCCCACCAGGGTGCTCACCCTTTGTCTTACTTCCTGGAGCTGCCAGAGCGGATGAGGAACCTTTTCAAAGTTCAGCGTGGATCAGGAACCAAGTGGCTCGCTGGGCTATATCCATGCTGAGCAGGCCTCTCTATACCAACAGATTCAAAGTCAAATGGGAGCAGATAAAATCTTGGGCCCCACAGTCCTCTGCATTCCCAGCCCTGCTCCACAGACAGAAAAGTCCTTCAGGTTTGTTTCCTCCTCCTCCTGATCTACCCTGAATCCTTGTGTGGAAGAGAAGGATCACCATTTATAAGGTGGACACGTTAATTTTTTTTTTTTTAATATATCTAGAAGAATGAGTGATTTTATTTTTATTTCTTTTTCCTGCTGGGGAGTCTGTTGGCCCGTTTCTGTTGGGTGCTGCCTATATGTCTCGAAGGAATCATTTCTCCCACTTGAAGACTGGTTCAGAAATCGGTTCGGGAAAGGAGTTTGATGCTTTTGAAATGACAAGATGTACTGTCGGGGCCTGGCCCAGGAAGGAGCAAAAGTGGACTTGTTGATGAGAGGGGATTAGAGGTCTGGCCCGTGAAGGCTTTATCAGAGAAGGTGAAAGCACAGAGCAATGTCTTTTGACAAATCATTCATTCACTCAACTAAAGTTTATTGACGGCCAGTTACCATGGCACCATGCCCTGTGCTCGGTACTGGGGAGGCAGAGATTAAAGTCATGGCCACGTGGCTAGTGGCTGCATATGTTTTCTCCCTCCAAGGGAATACTAAGAAGACAACACATAATCTTGAACCTTCTCTCTGACCCTTTTGGATTTTACCAAGCAAAAATGAAAAACAGCTGAGAGGTTACTTCAGAGATTTGTGTGTATACTCAGTTTTTTATTGTTAAACTGGTATTTTAAGATGTCTGAGTAGTCAGGGAATGAAGCCTCTGTCTTCAATTCTTTGACTTTCCATGTGTACCATAGAGAAAAATAAGTGATGTTTTTACTTTGAGGAGGTTTGTAAATGTTTTTAGATATTCTGGAGTGCATTATGTTTGTTAATACGTATTTATTAGAATGATGTTTTAAGTTAATAAAGTATTAAGACTCTTACAGATTGCTTTTCATTTAGGCAGGGAACTTGGGAAAGACCTTTGTTTTAGTCTGCAGGAGAAGCTGGCACTGAAGGAAACTATATTCTGACTCATAGTGACCCTATAGGACAGAGTAGAACTGCCCCATGGGGTTTTCAAGGTTGTAATCTTTACAGAAGTAGACTGCCACATCTTTCTCCTGCAGAGCAACTGGTGGGTTCAAACTGCCGGCCTTTCGGTTAGCAGCCGAGCACTTAACCACTGCGCCACCAGGGCTTCTTGAAGCAAACTATAGTGGAGTGTGAAAGTGAAGCAGACAAGCTAGTATCCAGAAAAGAGTAAAATCCAATGGCTCGGGGTTTTCATCTACTTTTTTCTCTATGTCTTAGAGATACTTCTTTCTTAACAGAAAAAAATAGTAGGTTATACAAAACTAAGCTTCTGCCTTGTAGAGTCACTGATGGTCCCACACGTACATAGGCTTTTTCCTCTGAGAATTTCAAAGGTTTTTACAGGCTAGAAGGTTCCTAGATGAATAAAGCAACCACAGGTCTTAGATCTAGAAATTTGAGTTTTAGTCATGGCTCTGTCATCAACACACCGTCTGACTTGGATGAATCCTTTGATTTCCCTGATGCTGATTTCTTTGCCCATGAAATGTGGATATGGTTCTAACATCCCATCCAACCCTGACTTCTTTGAGTTTGTGGAGAGACTAGAGGAGAGAGAAAGTGTGAGATTGGTTAGCTGCCTCACCTAAGGCAAGTTACACATCTAAAGACATATAAATAAAAAACCAAACCCACTGCCATGGAGTTGATTTCAACTCATGACGACCCCATGTGTTGCAAAGTAGAACTGTTCCATAGGGTTTTCTTGGCTGTAATCTTTAGAGAAGCAGATTGCCAGGCCTTTCTTCCACAGTGCTGCTGGGTGGGTTTGAACCATCAACCTTTAGGTTAGTAGTCGAGTGTGAATGGTTTGCACCAGCCAGGAACCTAAAGACTTATGAGGAGAAGTAAAATTGGGGTCTTGGTTATATCTGGTTTTATCCCACCTGTGGGAATTTCTTGCTTAAATCAACCTTTAAGAAAAAAAAACCAAAAGCCAAACTCATTGCTGTCAAGTCAATTCCAACTCATAGTGACCCTTTAGAACAGAGTAGAGCTGCCCCATAGGGTTTCTAAGGAGTGGCTGGTGGATACAGACTGCCAACCGTTTGGTTAGCAGCTGAGCTCTTAACCACTGAGCCACTAGTGCTCCTTTAAAAAGAAAGAAACCAGAATAAGCCCCTTGTCTAAATCCCAGCAACATGCACTCTAACCTCTCCCAGTCAGACATTCTGGGTATGCATGGCCCATTGTGAAGACCAGCACGGTGCCCATTTCCATACAAAACAATTTCATACATCTTGATTGAGCGCCCAGTGCATGCCTGGTACTGTTCTAGGGGCTGGGGATACAGCAGTGAGCACAATGTCCTCGTGGAACTTTATTTGGTCACTGCTGAACCTTCAGTTGCCAGAACAGTGCCTGGCACACAGTAAATCAATAAATATTTTTTGAGGTGGTAAGTGAATAAGCAGAGAAAATAAACTGCTGCTTCATCCTGTGGGCATGCTCTGCTTTCTACAGCAACAACCCAAACCCATTGAGTCGAGTCGATTCCGACTCATAGCGACCCTGTAAGGACAGACTGGAACTACCCCATAGGGTCTTCAAGGCTGTACATCCTTACAGAAGCAGACTTCCACATGTTTTTCCAGCGGAGTGGCTGGTGAGTTCTAACTGCCGACCTTTCAGTTGGTTGGCAGCCGAGCGATTTAACCACTGCGCCACCAGGGCTCCTTCTACAGCAGCAAAGGGGAGGAGAAATTGCTTGAGCCCCTAGGAAAGTAATGGAACACATACATAGGACTCTCTCTGAGTTGGTGAGTAAGTGGGGTTTGGACGCTGCTTTCTTTAATCCTTCCAAATCTCAGTCCTTGGCTATCTTCACTTGGTTCTCAACACCATGTCTTTTCCATGTCAATTTCCTCATATTCAAAATTTAAATTTGTTTACTCCGTAAAGCAGTTTGAGATAGTTTTCCAGAACTGATGTAGAGATGAACAATTGCAGCATCCAGGAACCACTTCCTTACGTCCTGGGAGACACTCCCAGTGAATAAAGATGAAAAAGCATTCTTCCCAGAGAAGTCATAGTGCATGCTGGTTGATTATTTCCAACCTGGTTTGAAAAAAAGAAGTTGTATTGAAGGGTAAGTTGAAATGATTGAAATCTAGGTATCTGCCCTGCTTCGCTCTACCCTTACGAAATATAGAACTTTTGGTGCATTTTCATAATCCCTGTTTATGCTATCAATGAGAAGTTGTAATTTTGATGTTTTTCTTGGAATTTATGTGTTTCTTGGAAAAAAAAAATATCTTGATATCCCCAGTTCAGAATCAAAACAAATTACTGTGCCTGTTCCCGTGTGAAATTTGAAGATTGCAAATATCTCTTAATGTTATTACTTGACTCCATTAAAAATAGATTGTGAATATTCCGTGTCACATTATTCATGAAGCAGGCTCTATGCCTTTTGTCTGCTGAGTAACAGTAGAAAGAGTAACAAGAGACACCAGAGCACACCTTTGTTTCTTTCACTAAATTTTTAATAACACCTCCAGCTAGCCAGTTGGTGAAGCTCAGCTCTTGCATAAAAGTGGAAAAGCACAGCTATCTCAAAGACCAACCCTTTCAGTGGCTAATTTGAGTTTGTGTTCATCTATACCCAAGGTGATTAAATTACCTATCAAATGTGCAGAGCTATCAGGATTCAGGCCACGTAAAAGGTGAATTTCATCTGATTGATTTGAGACACGAATGGAACAACTGAGTTGAAAAGCCCCGCCTTAATTAAAGGGATAGAAGAGTATAGCTCCCAGGCCGACTTCTTGACTGCGGTTGCCCTTGAAAATTGGATGGCAATAGTGATTTGACCCATGTCATGTTGCTGTGTGCTTGTTTGCTTAACCTGAGCATTTAACAGAAAGAAACGAACTCAGAGGAAGACTGAAAAAGACCTCACTACTTGCCACTGTGCATTGCTAGAGTACTATTTGTTTAAATCTGTGCTACTATATTATTTCTACCGAAAAAAACTTTTCAGGAAGTACATGATAAATTTGTTTTAACAATACTTTTTTATTCATTAAGTTAAATTTAAAATAAAAAAAGTTTAAAGAAATCTCACCCCAAACTCTTGTAGCTTAAAAGTCTGTGTTCTTTTTTTAGTGTTTCTTTCCAATCTTTATCCACCTATATAATATAGAAATATATTTTAAAATTATATATCTTACCCTGTGGTCAGAATGTTTACAATTTATGTCTAGATAGCTCTTTTATTTATTTATTATAATACGGACACATTTTAAAACTGTGAAATATAAAAATGAGAATTTGAACATTTTTATCGTTTAATCTTATTGATATCTTACTATTTATTAGTGATTTTATCAATCATTAATATAAAGTCTTTTTTGAAGTTTTGCTTTAATGGTTATTCCGTTTTTAAATAAAACTTTTCAAGCATACTGGAAATTACAGAGAATAGTAAGTTATCAGTTTACCCAACATTCTGCCATATTTGCTTCAGATTATATTTTTGAAATAAAATACTACAGATATGGTTGAATATCTTTCAGAGTATGTTTCTCCCTAACGCTGTTCCCTTTCTTCTCTCTTCAGAGGCATCCACTGTACCAAAATTGGTATGTAACACTGCAAAAGCAGGAAGTTAGATTTGCTTCTTGATGCTAGTTTTACAAACTTCATATCTTTACTATATACATATATCCATAAACTCTATAATACTGCCTAGCATATTTTAACTTCATATAAATGTTATCATAGTGTATATATCCTTCTGAACCTTGCTTTTATTTTGTTCAACACTTTGTTTTTGAGACTGATCCATGTTGATACATGGTGGCTTTGTTCATTTATTTTAGCTGCTAAACGTGGAATTTCATTGTACGAATACCTGGGGAATTATTTATTCATTCTCCTCTTAGGAGAGTTTTGGTTGTTTTCCATTTTCCCTATTACAAGCAGTTTTGAAGTGAGCAACCTTTTACACAACTCCTTGTGAACAAGTTTCTTTAGGGCATGTTCCTGGGTATGAATATGTGGGGTGTTACCAAATTGCTCTTCAAAGTGGTTGTACCAATTCACGTTCTTACCAACAGTGTAGGAGAATTCCTGTTGCTCTGCATCCTACCAACATTTGGTATTGTCAGACTTTCAACATATTTACCAGTCTCTGGTTGTGAAATGTTTATCATTATGTTATTGTAATTTGCATTTCATGATTCCTAATGAGGTTGAGTATGTTTTTGTAAGTTTCTTGGCCTTGGAGGTTTCCTCTGCTGTGAAATGCCTTTTTGTGTACTTTGTCCATTTTTCCATTGGGTTGCTTCTTTTTACTGATTAAAAAAATATATATAATATATTTAAAAATATAGTCATTCCTTTTGTTAAATATGTTGCGTACATCTCTGTCTGTAGCTTGCTTTTTCACTTTGGTTGAAGAGAGGATTTTTTGTTTTGTTTTTGTTTTTGTGTTACTGTGGTCACATGTATCAGTCATTCCCTTTATGGTCTTATGCTTTTTTATATTTTAATTAAGAAACTCTTCCGTAATTGATGGTCATAAAGATCATCTCCTATATTTCAACAAATTTAAAAAATTTTACTTGTAACACAAGCTTTTTAATCTACTTGCATGTGTGTGGTATGAAGTAGGGATCTAATTTTTATTTTCCACATGGATAGCCAATTGCTGCAGCATTATTTGTTGCAAATTCCACCCTTTTCTTTCTGATTGTAATGCCACCTCTGTCCTATGTCAAGTTTTAATTTCTGTACGGTTCTGTTCTGGGCTTGCTGATCTGTTTCACTGGTCATTTCCTCTATATGTCAAAGCCATAGTGTCTTAATTTGAGTTATAATAAACTCTTAATAGCTAGTAATAGCTAGGAGGCTCCCTCTCTCTGACCTGTTTTGTCCTCTTCAGGAATATCTTGGCTATATTTGGCCCTTTTAGTCTTGCATGTGAAGAACTCTGTTGGGATTTTGGTTTTTATTAAATTTATTGTGTAATTTGGGGAGAATTGAAATCATTTTGATATGAATTCTTCCTATCCATAAATATGGTATATTGGTCATTTATTTAGATCTGCCTTTGTGTCTTTCAGTAACGTTTTTATAACTTTCTGCATAAAGGTCTTGCACATATTTCTTCCTTTCTTTTTGGTTTATTGCTCTTACAGTTATTTTTAAAACTACATTTTCTAGTTGCTGCTGGTGTATGAGAGCAAAATTAATTTTTTTAATGTTGATCATGTAGCCTACAACTTTGCTGAACCCTCTTCTCTAGATAGATAATCATGAGATATGCAAATGGTAGTAGCTTTGTTTTTGTTCTTTCTAGCTTACTCTTCTTGCCTTACTGTACTGGCCAGGGGCAGAATAGTAGGCATCTTTATCTTGTTCCTAACTTCAAGGGAAATGCTTTAAAATTTTCACAACCTAGCGTAGGGTTTTTGTTAGGTGTTTAATGGATAATTCTTTAAAAATCAGAGTAAGAACTTCTATTTGTATTTGATAAGAACTTCTGTTTGTGTATATGTGTGCTTTTAGTCATTAATGGGTATTTAATTGTATGATTTTTCTGCATATGTTGGAAGAACCTTAGGACTTTTATACTTTTGTCTGTTAATGTGGCAAATGACGTTTATAGATTTTCTAATATTAAGTTATCTTT